CCTCTTGGTCAGCTTAGGTCGGCTGTCCCAGCTGTGGCCCCTGCCAGCTTCTTGTGCACTCCCAGCCTACTCGCTGGTGGGGTGGGGTGAGAAGAAGAAAAGGCCTTGGCAGTGTATAAGCACTGCTCAGCAACAACAAAAACATCCCTATACTATCAGCATTGTTTCCAGCACAAATCCAAGATGTAGCCCCATACTAGCTACTAAAATGAAAATGAGCTCTGTCCTAACTGAAACCAGCACAGTTATCTGCAAAACATGGTGTGACAATCTGACTAACTCTTGGAAATAACCTACATAATGACTTAAATTGAATATACCAATGTGCAAACACTGGGCAATAACTGCATAATAATTTTTACCCTTTCAGTAAACTAAGTGTGCTATGTGTTTGTGAGGTTTGCTGCATTCAAACAAATGATTTAACAGTGACCTGAAACAGGCCAATTCTGCTGGCAGAATATACATACACACATACAGATGCACACACAGAGGTACAGAACTGCAGCAGAATAAAGCATCACCCAGTTATGAGTGGAAACGAAGCCTAATTCTAAATATATGCCTATATTTTAACTTAGTGTTATCAGTGCTAATAAGAAATAGTACTATTATAGGCATTCATTTAAAGTGGAAAAAGGTTGCACAGATGAGAGCATGAAAATCAGCTTTGGTCTGAGTCATATAAAGTTCACTAGGCATGCAGGTCCACACAGGTCCTTTTGCAGCAAGGGTGGATACTCCATTCCTGACACCACGACTCTGACTGACCAAAGTTTTCAGCAAGAAGTATGGCATTTTATTCACATCCTGTGTGGTGATTTTTGCCAGAGATTGACACCTACTCACATTGCTACAAAAGTATTCTGCTTTCCCACCTATCACTGAGCTGCACAACCACTTCAGAATAAAGCTTGAAATTAACTTATGAAATAACAGTAAAGAATCAAGTGAGTGCAAAATATAGTAGTATTTTTGTAGCCTAATACTGGATTTTTCTCTATTTTATGGGAAAGGTTTGTAAAGTCTATTGGATTTTCTACTACAGAGGTCTTGTTTTGTAAAAAAATGTTTAAGCATAGCTATTAGCAGTGGAATTTTCACCCATAAAGACAAAATTAAAATAGTGATAAATATATATGTATATAGAAATAGGTATAGACATATATATATATATGCATGTATCTGTATAGAAAAATATGTGTGTGTATATATATATATGTATTTTTTAAAGCTGAGCTGTGCCATTTTATTGGAGGCACCTCCCATCAATAGCTTTGGGGTACCAGGCAACACACTGTGAGCACTGAATAAAAGAGCCAATTCTCTTGTGTCTTTCCAAAATCTCATTAATAAATTCCAGTTTTAGGTAATAAAACCCCTGGCCAGTCCTCCTTCCCCTTCCCCCATAGGATCGGCATCACATTGCAGCCTCTGAACTGGGCCCCCATACTAGAAATTATTGTAATCCAGGCCTAAGCTCCAACCTTTTCACCCGCAACCTAGGTAATTAAATTATGGTAATGTTGTTGGTTAGATGAAACCATCAGATGCCTTTAGTCTCTCATTTTTACCCAAATTCAATTCTGTCAAGTGTTTGAAGAGAGTGATACCTTGGTCATTTGAGGATTGAGACCAAAGTGTCAGTTATGTTTTATTTCCTCACAAAAAAAGTCACATGTATTGAATTGCTAATACTGAATGTCTCAGTCACTTAATACTCTTTATTGGTTTTAAACTCCCTTTAAGTATTCCAATCCAAAGCCAAAAATAAATTTTACAGAACTTTTCTAACTTACAAATTGTTTATATTTAGATTGTGCTGTTAAAGCAACAGAGATACTGTACAGTATGCACTTTTCCCAAGACACATGAATGCCATTAAACAGTACTAACTTTTTTTTTTTTTTTAGTGAATTCTCATTCCATTCTCTTTTACATTATGACAAATGATGGCATGTAAAGAATCTCTTCCATCAAACAAGAAACTGTTGAATGCAGTTGAAAAATGTGTGGGAAAACCATCGTGAATAGTGTTATGTAAAGGCACAAATAAATGAACCATCTAATTAGCAAATAATTCAAGAGTTTGCAGACTTGGAGGCTTAGCTACCCAAATACAATGGTTCACTTAAAATAATGTCATTATTTATTTTAGGGTATTCGATCATTCCATGGAAGGATTCAAAAACTGGGAGTTTATGACTACTCATTGCTGGAGTGAAAAAGCAGCAGGTGACTGGATCTTGGAAATCTGTGACACTCCATCACAGCTGAGAAACTTCAAGACTCCAGGTATTTCTCTAACTTTTATTTGGGCTCAGTGAATTCAGAAGAATATCTGCAGTTGCCCGTGCTGCCTGGATTGTTCTTCACCTTGCATTTACAGCTGAAACATCTCACCTGTTTTGGTATGAAGGCAGATCTGTGAAGAGCATATTTATTAATTTCAGTTATCAATGCACTCTTCGTTTTTATGTTGCTGTTACTTGCCGTCTAAGACACATGGTTTTCTTTTATTCTGAGCTTGCTTCTGGTTGCCTGGGAGAATTTATTCTTTGCAGGGGTAAACTGCCCTCATCCTTGCAGTCACATATGTTGCCTCAAAGAGACTTTGGACATTTAGAGCTGCATCATACCAGACTTGAATTCTTCAAGCAGAGACAGATGCCTGTACCATCTGACAGGTTACCAAGAATCAATGCTTTAAACAGCCAAATCTTTACTAGGCACAGCTTTGAAGGAAAAAGATACAAAACCACATGAAACTGCATGTGCCACATTTGAAAGAAGTTATAATATCTCTGTATGTAGACATCTGTTTTCTTGGATGTTGAATATAGATTTATCAGACAGGTCTTCAACATAAGTTGGAACAGCCCAGAGTTGCTCTGCTGTATTCCCATTGCCTGTGACTTTCAAGACTGATACAGGGCCCATGTAGAACCCAGGGATTTGTTTTCATGTTGTTTTTCTTTGATTTGTACTTTTTATCTTACCCATAAGAAAAAGTGGCATTTATGAGTGTTTATACAACTAAATCCCACGATACAAGAGAAAGGAATTTATGGCTTGCTACCACTGATGCTCCTGTGTATATGGGCAGCATGCTCAGACCTGGTATTTATCCGCTCTGGAACTGTACTCCTAATAAGAATTTTTAAGGCTACAGACATTCTGCTTTTACTTCCCACTGCATAGTGCAGTTTCTTTCACACCTGAGCACTTTGAAAGAAATGGAGAGAAGGACTTTCAAACAGACTCACAGAATTACATACATTGCCTCTATTTGCTGGTTATGAGAGATGAGTATATACCTGCCCTTGGACTTACTGAAAATTCAAACCTTAAAAGCCATTTTGAAATAGATATATTATACACAGACAAAAATACCACTGCTCATGCATGAATACTGAGTACCATCTTTCCTTCGAAGCCCCACGTCAGTGTAGGTGGAAACACTTCAATAAAATCAATCAAAGGTAAAATATCACTTAAACAAATAATCTAGAACAAAATATGTTAGAGAGACAGTTTCTACTGAGGTATTGGAAATCACTTACCACTAAATCTAAATTAATACTCTTGATTGGACAATGTGTCAGAATGCAGCCATATTACATTGGAAGTAACAAATCTAGTTGATTACTGCTTTCTGACAGATAAAAATTAATTATAAGAATTCTACTACATAATATATTTAGACTTACAGTGACATCAGAGACATAATTAGTCTATAATTCAGTGAAATAAAAGGTATGTTTCGTCTCCGACAGCTAAGTAAACTCACAAAGCAGTAAGTTTTCTAACCAGTTTGCTAAAAATCGATTCTGAATGTTAAGACACAGATGTTAACTTAAAAGTGCTTGAAGCTATAAAAATATGCCTTTGTGAACTAAACAATAGGGGACTTCTCAGTATGTTTGTTCCTGAATTAGTAGGTTATTGGAAGTCATTAAAACTATTCAAATGGGCCTCGCTATGTGTAAGTTCTTTTATTGTTTCTACTCCATGGAAAAGCACACATAAGAAACGTTGGCTAAAATGTGAACTGAAGTGCTTAAAAGCTTTGAGTTTAAAATAAAAAACGCTAGCGTGATAGGGCACGTGTATATAGTCGACTGTTCTAGAACAATGTTGATTGTTTCAGTTCTACTTTGTCCAAGAAAGGACCATTAATATTCTGCTACCAGATATGGAGAAGCCGTACTTTGTCTTCCTCTTGGTTGAAATTTGGTTTGTGAAAGTATTCAGTTTGGAATGAAGGTTATGTGTAGTTCACCTTTTTGAGACAAATGTGCCTTTCTGGGAGCCTGTCCAGCTTGTCCAATTACTCCTGCAGTTACAAACTCAGTAGGACCATTATTTCCATCATGACTTAAAGCAAGCCAGGGTGCAGGAGGAATTCTACTGTGTGAGCATGGAGTTGTCCAGTCTCTATCCTGTTCCCAGTGCTGCATAGGCCAAACTCAACTGGGTTTATACATTTTACTTTGGACAAATAAGAACCCTCTCAAAAATATCACAAAAAGGATACGCTGATTTTATGCTGCTTAGATACTTTTCCCGCTGAAAAATCAAACACATGAATCAGCCTCACTCAACTGCTGTTGGAATTTATGGAATTGAATGAGAATTTTAGTTCTTTATTTGCTGAGTTGTGTCCTTTTTAATGTAGCAGATGGCCAGATAGCAAATCTCTGCTTTTAAAAATAAAAATTTGCGCATCTGGCTGTGAAAACATGTCCTTTTATTGCCTGTCTCTGTCTCCATAACTCAAATTTTGTTTGAAGGCGGTAAAGCAGCAGTTTATAAGATAAATTTTTTAAAACCTGTTGTGTAGGGTCAGTAAGTCCCTATTGATGACCAAGATAATCAGTGTGATTTTCAAAATAGCTGAGCAGCAAACAACTTTTTATTAAAGTCTGTGGTAATTCTGCGGTTGTCAGTGTCACTTAAATGTCAGCTTAACACTCAAGTGGTTAACTTGAAGCACAGCATTTTGAAAATCTTGATTATCATCCTCTAGAGCTCTGACGGGTAAAACCAACAGTGTTGGTGTTTCAGTTTTCACTTAATTTTGTCTGCACTGATCACTTCTCACCATGGTTTTGCAGGGGTGAAAGGTTCTAAGTGATGTTAATTGCACCAGTAAATGCAGAGTAAAGTTTCTACTACACTTAAGAGGATATTTGTTAAAAAGCCTGTTCCTGAACACTCCTGTTTTACTTGCATAGTTGTATAGGTCTTACTGATTTGTTGATGTCAGTACCCCTTCTCAGTGCTACAGTGGCTGATCTCGTGGCACTGATCTCTTTTGCTTCATGATAATGAAAGCCTAAAGACCCAATACTGGGAAGAAAAGGGGCAGTAAGGCCCAATGTGGAAAAGTAGGCCTGCCCAACCAAGGCTTGTGGAGGAAAGCAGGTCACACTGAAGGA